CAGATCTCACCCATTTTTGGATACTTTGAGCTTCCAGCACCCAAACCTTGCCCAAGCACAGCCAGGAGGCCAAGGCTCTGCCCTCATCCATCACCCCGTGCCTCCCCCAGCCAGGGGGCTCTTTCTTTCTTTATTTTCCAGGCAGTGATTTATCAGGGGGCTCCCATGGAAACTGCAGCAGTGACAAATGACAGCAGCTCAGCAGAGCCAAAGGATGGGAGATGAATTAGCCCCAAATCAGCCACGTTCTGTGGCCCTTGTTTAGTCACTCACCACATCCCCAGGGCCTGGAGACAGCGCCGTGTCCGTGGGAAGGGACTGATGAGTCACATCCTGAGGAATAAAGGCCTAAAAATAAACAGTGGAAGCAGAGAAGTTGTGCTCTGCTCTCCTCTGGCTGCAGGCTGGGGGCAGCCACTCCTGCCCCACTGTTGGCTTTGGGGGGACTTAGTTTATTCCTTGTCCTCCACAGTCCTGTTAATGGGGATATTTTGAGAGGCGTTTGCTGTGGGGCTCGTGGGGAGCGAGTGGAAGAAGGAAGGCTGGGAATCCTGGGATGCTCCAGCTCCCTGCTCCCCCAGCCAGGTCCTGGGGAATCCCAGCACTGCAGCTGAGCAGAGGCACAGCAGGGTGTGTGTGCAGAGCTCTGGGGTGGCCCCTCCTCTAACCCCTCTCCCTGTTTTTGCAGACCCCAGCCTCACCACGTGTGCGGACCCCGGCGTGCCTCTCTTTGGGATGCAGAACAATTCCCAGGGATACCAGGTACTGCCAGGGCAGTGGGATCCCCAAAACCTGCCGTGCTCAGCCCGTGCCTGAGCCCTGGCACAGATCTGTGAGTCCTCCTGGGATGGTGTGATCCCAGTGTCAGACCCCGGGCTGTGTTTGTGCAGGATTAACCAGCAGTGCATTGTACATGATATTAATTGCAGTGCTAATTAGTAGTTATTGGTGTAATTACTCCTCACATTTCCATTAATTTTCAGTCCAAATTCCACAGGTGTTTCCCTTTATCTCAGCTCCCATGCAGCAGGAAATCTGTGGAATGGAGGGAGAGAACCCAAAGGGATGCCCTGAGGTGCTCCCTCTCCTGCTGTCCCTGTGGGTGCCCATTCCCTGTTGGGAGAGTTGATTCCATGTGGTTACCCCGTGCCAAGTGGATCCTGCAGTTTTGCTGCTAATTAGTTATCTTAATCCTGGGGGTTAATGAACTAATTTTAGGTTTTAATTAATACTGAGACACTACAAGTCTGACTTTTGTCTGAGCTGGCAGTCGGGAGCTGGCACTGGAGTGGAGCTGCCTCTGGAGCTGCTGTGGGGGCTGTGGGGGCTGGGGCAGAGTGTGACAGGGAAATGCTCCTTAAAGGGGCTCCAGGAGAGCTGGAGAGGGACTTGGGACAAGGGCCTGGAGTGACAGGATGAGGGAGGAATGGCGAACATGGAAAATTCTAGAAGCGCCTTTTTGTCCCGGCGTGGCACTGGGGGAGTTCAGTGTTTCCCTGCCCTTGGAACAGGTGGGAAGCATCATCTTTTTCAAGTGCCAGAAGGGGTACCTGCTGCAGGGCTCCACCACCAGGACCTGCCTCCCCAACCTGACGTGGAGCGGCGTCCAGCCCGACTGTGTCCGTAAGTCCTGGGAATGGCACAGGGAGCCAGAGCCTGGAGCCAGGCTGGGGTTGGTACTGGCTCAGGAGAGCTGGGAATTCAGGAGGGAGCTGTGAGAAAACACATTCTTGGAGGAAATATATTAGATTTTAGGAAGGTTGGGAGATGAGGAAGAAATTCTCCCCTGGGAGGGTGGGGAGGCCCTGGCACAGGTTGCCCAGAGAAGCTGTGGCTGCCCCATCCCTGGAAGTGTCCAAGGCCAGCTTGGAGCAACCTGGGCTAGTGGAAGGTGTCCCTGTGGGGGTGGAACTGGATGATTTTTGAGCTCCCTTCCAACCCAAACCCCTCTGTGACTCTCCAACACTCTGTGATAAAAGGGAGCTCACTCCATCCCTTCTCTCCTGACGTTGCACCAGCAGCCACTTGTGATTTCAGATGAGATTTTCATTGCCTGTCCCTTCCTCAGAGACCCAGTTGTCAGGTGAAATGTTGTTTTGTGCTCCTGAAAGCCCATTTGGTGGCAGAGCTGTGAGCTGGCCCTGGGGAGCAGGTTAACATTTAGCCAGGAGGGCTCTCCAGCAGAGCAGAGCTTCTCCTCCTCCTCTTTGGGAACGTGCTGCTCTTCCCTTTAAGCTGTCCATCATCTCCCTGCTACAGCAGGAGGAGTTTATTTTAATGTGTTTAAGTGGTGATACCCATCCTGGCCTCTGGGTCATGAGTATTAAAAAGCTTTTTCCTCTCCCTCATGAGGTGGTTTACTGGGGAGATATTTTTCCACTAACAAGCCCTGTGGATGCTTGTTCTGTGAACAGAACAACTGGGACACCCAGCTTTAAATGCTCTGACATGTGGCATCAGGGGAGAGAGGGTGGTTGCTCTGGAAGGAGCTAATGAGTGCTGGGGCTCCCAAACCATGTGAGTTCAGGTCACTCTTCCAGCTCTCTGGGGTTTATATTTCCTCCTCTGTGAAGGGAGGGTGATGCTGGTGCCTCCTGAGGGCTGCTAAGGGTTTGTTTTCAATTAGGAGCAGCTGGAGAGCTGGAGAAAGGACAAAGCTGGCAAAAACTGGGGGCTGGAACTAGATGATCTTTAAGGTCCCTGCCAACCAAACCATTCTGTGAGCCTGTGAATCTTCAGTGAGGGGGAGAGGGAGCTTCCCTGCTTTGGGATTTACTTGTTTGGAGTCGTAACATCTCAGGGAAGGGGGTGACACGTTTCCAGCAGCAGCTGCTGGAGCAGTGTTGGCACGTGCTCTGGGGACAGGGAGCTGGACAAGCTCTCATTCAGCCTCTGTGGCCAAATCCTGAGAGTTATTGAGCAGTTACAGGGATTTCTGACCACTGCACACCTCGCTGGGTGATGCTGTGGGCAGCTGGGAGCACGTGATTAGTAGGTCCCATGAACAGAGGTGGTATAAAAGCCCTCACTGGAATCACTGGCTTAATTTACCAGCTCTTGGTGTCCTGCAAAGGCAGTTTCCAGTCTGCAGATACACCTGGGACTCAGTTCTGCGCTCAGAGCTCCAAGGAAGGTGCTTTAACATCCTTTGGTTTTGGCTTTTTCCCTTAAAAGTGGGGGATGCCCACTTTTCGGGCAGAGCCCGATTTTCAGTTCATGGAGCTGAGTGAAGGGTCCTCTGAGAGCTTTATCCAGCAAGAGCAATCCCAGCCATGGGAATCTTCTCATTAATTCACCTGGCTGGGAAGAATCCAGGCATGGCATTTCTCAGGGAGCAGGGAAAGCTGTTGGGTAAAAGCTCTTCCAGGAGGTTTCTGTCCCTGCTGACACCCTGGTGTCCCTCTCTGTGTCCCATGGGTGGTGTCCCTCATCCCTGTTTCCCTTGTCCCTTCCAGCTCACCACTGTAAGCAGCCGGAGACACCTTCCCATGCCAACGTGGGAGCTCTGGATTTGCCATCCCTGGGCTACACCTTGATCTACTCCTGCCAGAGCGGGTTCTACCTCACCGGAGGCTCCGAGCACAGGACCTGCAAAGCCGACGGCAGCTGGACAGGGAAACCCCCCATCTGCCTGGGTAGGGGGTGACACTGGGTCTGTGTGTGCCCAGGGGACACTGCAGCCCTCAGACCCCCACCAAAGCCCTGTGTTTGTCTCCTGGTGGTGGAGCCCACGGGCCTTTGATGTCCCACAAAGGCAGTTTTCGGTCTGTGGATAAGACCCGGGGACTCAGTTTTGGGGTCAGGGTTCAGAGGTGTCCAGAGCATCATTTGGGTTTGGCATTTTTTGCCCTCGGAAGGGGAGGAAAATCAGAGCCTGGTTTTCAGTTGGTGGGAGCTGGAGCCAAGGGAAGGGTCTCTCCAGCCAGAGGATCCCCCGGAGCCACCTGAGGGGCTTCGCACGGCTGGTTTGGGTCTGGAAGCACCTTCTTTGTCCTTCACCTCACCCAGCTTTTACCTGCCACAGAGGAACAGTCATGGTCTAACCTTGACACAGAGCTGTTTGGCTCTCCTGGAGGGTGGGAGCTCACCCTGGATCTTCCCTCTTTTCCAGCTGACGTCCGTCCCAGCGGGAGGCCGGTGGGCACCGCGCGGGACCCGCCGCTCGCCAAGCTCTCAGGTACACAGTGGGATCCTTCCCGTGGGACACAGCAGTGACCTTGGCACACCCATCCCTGCCCAGCCCTTCTCAAACCCAGATCCTTGCTGGGAGCAGCCCATGTGCCCCACCCTGTCCGTGCTTCCCTGGAGAAGTCGTGCATCGACACCCGCTGCCCTCCCCGGGGCATTCCAGAGATTCCAGGGTTGGACACTCAACCCTTTTTTTTTTTTTAAATAGGTTGTGTTAGCTTTTCCTAATAAATTATTTTGGGGGTGGGATTCTTTTTAAAGCTTTCACGCTGTTTTTTTGTCAGAACGACCAAATTAAGGTCACGGGGTCGTTTGTTCCCCTCTCCTCGGCTTCGTCCTCAGCGGTGATGGCACAGGGAGAGGGTGGGATCTGAGACATTTAATTATGTGCCTGTGAATTGAAAGAAAGAAGGAACTTCTCCTCTGTTTTGATTCCTGAAAAAAACCCTGGAAATCCACGGCAATGCTGCTGTTTTGGTGCATCCCCAACCGCTGTGTTTTCCAGTGCCTGCGGACGTGTTCGCGAGGAACTCCCTGTGGAAAGGCTCCTACGAGTACCTGGGCAAGAAGCAGCCTGCCATGCTGTCTGTCACCAGCTTCGACCCTGCCACCAGTAAAGTCAATGCCACCCTGATAGACCACAGTGGTGTGGAGCTCCAGGTGTCTGGTGAGGACACGAGGTGGCCTCTCGTGGGGATTGACGCTGGTCCCGGGGTTGGTTGGTCCCCCCCTGAGGTGACGAGGGGGGTTTCTCGGCCCTCTCGGGCAGAAAGTCAGTGACTTCCACTTCTTTTGCAGGCATTTACAAGAAGGAAGACGTGCACCTGCTCCTCCAGGTTTACCAGATCATGGGGCCGGTGGAGATCTTCGTCAACAAGTTCAAGAACGATAAATGGGCTCTGGATGGACACGTAAGTGCGGGGGCACCTCGGGCACGAGATCCACCCACACAATTCCTCCTGCTGCTGTCACAGCCTGGCTTTTCTCTCCCTGGAGCTGAGGGATAACTCCCTGAGCTGGTGGCAGCATGAGGCTGCTCCAGTGACCAGTCCTTGAGGGGGACACGGGGCGCTTTTCCAGCCCGGGATGTAACACGGCGTGACAGCTCCTCGTGCTCCCTCGCAGCTGTGCGTGGCTTTACTGCCCCGTGGCTTGAAATCTCTGCGTCTCCCAGACAGCACTTGAGGAGAAGACAACATGATTAATTCCATTTTAACGTTTTATGTCTGCTAAACATCAAGCAAAAAGAGCTAATGGAGCCAAGTCCTCACCCCCCTGTGAGCTTCCCGTGCCCTTCAGAGATCCACTGGAGCTTGGCAGAAATGTGCATCTGCTTGACCCGTGGCCAGTGGTGGCCCAGAGCCTTTGTTCCCCCTCTGGGATCAGCAGTGTCTTGTGGAGTTTATTGCAAACAGGATTTTTTTGTTGTTGTTTTCCCTCCTCCGAGCCGTGAGGGCCTTGAGCTGTCGGGCACTGAGAGGCCTCCCGGAGCACCGCGGTTTTCCGGGGAATTAAATCAAATTAACTCCGTGCCTGAGCTTGCAAAGGGCTGTGCTGTGAGATGGGTGTGAAAGCCCGGGGAGGTGCTGGGCAGACGTGCTGATCTCCCCTCTCCTGTCACCTCAGGTCTCATCGGAGTCTTCGAGCGGCACCTTCGTGTACCAGGGCTTCGTGAGGGGCAAAGGCTTCGGGCAGTTTGGCCTCCAGAGACTCGGTAAAATTCCTCAGATTGGTGCTTTTTCCCCTGGATTCTGAAAGCTCTGCCCTGGTGGTGGTGGAGGGTTTCAAACAGGGGGTGTTTCTCCTGTCCTTGATTTTCAGCCCTTCTGCTAAACCCACCCTGGGAGGGAGACTGTGGGAGGCAAAACAGCACAACGACGAAATTTGTAATGTAAAGCCTGTAAACAGGCTGCTGTTTAAAGACAGAAAGGGGTTTTGGAGCCACAAAAAGCACCTGGACAAAAAAAAACAAAAACAAAAACATAGTTTTTCTCCACATTGCCAAATTCTGACAGGCCCAAGCCCCGTTTCTGCCACAGAAAGTGTCTCTGTCGCCCTTTCAGAAATCCCAGAGGCTCCTGATGGCTTAAAACAGGCAAAGTTTAAGCCCCTAAATATCTCTTAAATTGTGGTTTGAGCTTTTAATCTCTTTCTTGGGATTTTTGGGATATTCTCACCTTTATGGAGAATTAAGTTGCTCGTTATTGCATTTCAAAGTCTCCCCTTAAAGCCCAGCTTTATGCGTCCAGGTTGGAACATTTTGGCAAGATAAATCTATTTACATCTCCCTTTAATTGCAGTCCTAAATAAATGATGCTGTCTAAGCTGGGCTGGATCTCCAGGCCATCCTTCATCTGCAGCTCAGCAGCTTTCCATTGCCTTTTTTCCAGCACCACTTCCAGTTGCTGGAAGCCCCAGCAAAGCCCATTTTCTTGCAGTGCTGGTTTGAAATGTGTTCTTTTCTGCTGCGTTTCAGACCTTAGCATGATGGAAACGGATCCTGAATCCATAGGACACCACTTTGCATCCAACAGCAGCTCCGTGGCAGCCGCCATCCTCGTGCCTTTCATCGCCCTGATTATTGCAGGGTTTGTGCTTTATCTCTACAAACACAGGTGGGTTTGGGGGGGCAGGAAACAAATTCGGGGGGGCCTCTGAGAAACGTTGAGCTGGAACTTAAAATCCCACCCCCTTAGACCTCTTTTAATTCAGAAGGTGAAAAGGAAACGAAGCAAAGCCCCGTGGAGGGGTGAAGGTTTGGAAGGAGAGAGCAGTGAGAGGGTTTCTGACCATTAATAAGATTTGTGGCCACTTTAAGGAGGATGAAGCGAAGTAAATTCCACGCTCCAGCGTTCAAGCTGGCCTTGCATGTGTTGTAAATTAGTATTTTCTCCTGATCAGGGTGTTGCTGTGGGAGCTCTGCAGAGGGAGGGTGCCCAGGGTTGCAGCAGCACCCAGGAGCTGCTGTGCTGCAAATCCACAGTCAGATTTGTCTGCCTCATCCCCAGGGGTTTACCTTCCTCAAAAGCAGCTCTGTCTTTCTTTTTCTTTCTCTTTTTTTCTCTTTCTTTTTCTTTCTTTTTCTTTCTTTTTCTTTCTTTTTCTTTCTTTCTTTTTCTTTCCTTCTTTCTTCTCTCTTTCTCTCTCCCTTTCTCCCTTTCTCCCTTTCTTTCCTTTCTCTTTCTCTCTTTCTCTCTTTCTCTTTCTCTTTCTCTTTCTCTTTCTCTTTCTCTTTCTCTTTCTCTTTCTCTTTCTCTTTTTCTCCCTCTCTTTCTCTTTCTCTTTCCCTTTCCCTTTCCCTTTCTCTTTTTCTCTCTTACCCTTTCTTTCTTCTCTTTTTCTCTCTCCCTTTCTCTCTTTCTTTCCTTCCTTCCATCCTGTCTCCCCTCTCTCCCAAGGCCAGGTTGGATGGGGCTCTGAGCAACCTGGTCTAGTGGAAGGTGTCCCTGCCCATGGCAGGGGGTGGAACTGCAGGAATGGCCTGGAGCTGTGTCTGGAAGGTTTAGGTTGGATTTTAGAAAAAGGTTCTTCCCCCAGAGGGTGGTTGGGCACTGCCCAGGCTCCCCAGGGCAGTGGGCACAGCCCCAAGGCTGCCAGAGCTCCAGGAGGGTTTGGCTGATCCTCTGGGGCACAGGGGGGGACTCCTGGGGCTGGGCCTGTGCAGGGCTGAGGGTTGGACTGGATGCTCCTTGTGGGTCCCTTCCCTCTCAGGACTCTCTGTGACTGTGTGACCTCTGTGGGTTTGCTCTCCCCTGCTGCAGGAGAAGACCAAAAGTCCCGTTCAATGGCTATGCTGGCCACGAGAACACCAACGTGAGGGCCACCTTCGAGAACCCCATGTACGACCGGAACCTGCAGCCCACGGACATCATGGCCAGCGAGGCCGAGTTCACAGTGAGCACGGTGTGCACGGCAGTATAGCACCCACCCCCCTGGTGAGTGAGCTGGGGCACTGCTGGGCTCCCCTCTGGCACCCCAAAACCTGGGTGGCATCGTGGCCTGCTTGGCTTGGAAGGGATCATAAGGGTCGTGTCACTCCATCACCCTTCCACCCGCCGCTAGCCCAGGTTGCTCCAAGCTGGCCTGGGACACTCCCAGGGATGGGGCAGCCACAGCTTCTCTGGGCAGTCCATTCCAGCCCCTCCCCACCCTCACAGAGAGGATTTTCTTCCCAGTATCCCACCTAACCCTGCCCTCTGGCAGTTTTGAAGCCGTGGGTCAGAGGAGCCCCCTGAGCTGTTCAGATGTCCCAAAAGACCTTGTGGTTCTTCCTGGGCCAGGAGTTGGACTCAGTCCTTGTGGGACTGAGCTCAGGATATTCTGATTCTAAGAGATCATCTCAACACAGGGCCAAACCCAGAATCCCAGACTATGCCAGGTTGGAAGGGACCCACAAGGATCACTGAGTCCAGCTCCTGGCCCTGCATGGGACCATCTCTGGGTCTCATGTGCTGGCTGCTGGTTGGGAACCTCTTGGAGAGCAGTGGCCAAGCAAATGCCTGTAAAGCTGTGGTGAGAACAGTCCAAAGGGGAAGGAAGAGTCGGGTCTGTAAGAGGGAGCGTTCCCTGGGTGAATCCTGACGGGATTTTGCTCAGGGATCAGGGATTTCAAAGTTTAACTGCAGAGAGACATCACTTCATGTCATAATCAAAAGCACCCTGTGGCCTGTAGAGCCCTTCCAGACTGGAATGTTCTCAGTTTAGGATAAGGAAACCATTGCAGGCTCTCCCAGCATTTCTGTGTGTTAATAACAGGCTGTTTGCTTTTCCTTTCCCCCCATCCCAGATCGCTCCGGGGTCGGCGTCTGGTGGATGATTGTGTTTCACCTCACTAGTCTCCATCCATCCCCTGCCCATCTCCCTCCTCCCAACCTTTTGCTGAGGCTGTGGAGAAGCTGCTGCACCTCGTTGGACTTTGTGTGACCTCCTGAGGGACCGCTGGGTTTGTCCTCTGTCGTCCTTCCCCGCCCGGGTCCGCCCGCTCTCCATCCTGGATCACGAAGCCAACCAAAGGTCTGCTCCTGCTCAGCTCCCCCCTCCCACCCTGCCAGGGGGGCTCAGCCCAACTTCCCTGGGCAAGGGGAGCACCTGGGAAGGCTTTTCCAACCTGCTCCTGGTGGTGTGTTCCCAGAGGGAGCCGTGGGATGTGTGGGGGCCCCACCAGCTGCCCCCCAACTTTGGGAAGAGCTCGGGCAACAAAGGGGTTGTGCACAAGGTGCTGACTGGATTTATGGACAACACCAGGATAGGAAAGGATGAGCTCTAGTTCTGTCTGTGTTTGGACTTGTGGGATATTTGTTTGTTGTTTTTTCTACCCCCCCAGGGCTCTGGCAGAGGAAGGGTTTTCAAATGGGACCCTCCCGATGGGAAAAGCGAAACTTTGGAAGCTTTTTCCCCTCTTCCTCGTTTCTTTTTCCTTTGGGCATTCTTGCTGGGGATTTTTCTGCCCTGTGTTCATTCCTGCAGCTCTCAGGGCTGGGGAGGAAACACTCCCTCTCTCCCTGGCTGCTGATCTGAGCTGTGTCCAAAACCCCCTGACCAGGAAACCGCTGACAGACACCGAGGGACAAAAACCTCTTTAAAAAGATAACAAATCCTGATTTCCCCCCCAAAAAGCCTTTGCCCTTTTCATATTGATCCTCCAAAATGGCAACTCCAAATAAGAGTTTTAATTTCTCTCCAGAGCTGCTCCCTTTATTTCCCAGGGGCACAGAGGTTGCCTTGGCTTTCAGGGGAGCAGATAAGGCAGCTTGACATTTCTCCTGCCTTAGAAGACAACGAGGCTTTGGTGAGTTTGGCCTCCTCTGATGAGGAGCAGAGCTGCTCTTGTTGATCCAGGCTTTGAGGCTGTTTGCTCTGAAGGCCCATTTTTGGAGCCAGGGGAGGCAGCAGTGACATTTCCCAGGTGAGAAGTGAAATCCTGTGTCACCGAGGCAGCTTCCTCCTGCAGGAGACTGCAAGGGAAATCAGCATTAAACCTCGAGGGTGGTGTTTACATCCATGCTCTCACATCCAAGCACTAGTTTTTTTCCCCTCCCTGATGTCAGCTGAGGTTCTGCCTAATGAAAACCACAGGGTAGGTTTGTTTTTTATTTTTCCCTGGTTTGTTTATTCTTTTACTCTGTGTGTGTGTGCGTGCGTGTGTGTGTGTGTGTATATGTATATAAATATATATTATTTTTTTTACTTAGAGTAAAGCAGCATTCTCCAGCCTCGTGGCTGGACAGCCAGCCTGCCAAAAAAAAAATGCCACCTCCGCTGCCCAAAGCAGGAAAAGGTGCTGGGATTTCTCCCTGAGGGGTGGGAGAAGGAGCCAGAGCCCTGATCCCACGTGGGCAGGGGTGGGAGAAGGAGTCAGAGCCTTGATCCCACGTGGGCAGGGGTGGGAGAAGGAGTCAGAGCCCTGATCCCACGTGGGCAGGGGTCAGGGAGGTGCTGCCCACGTGGGGCTGGGCACACAGGGAGCCCAGGGCAGGCTGAGCCGTGTCCTGCAGCAGGGAGTGCTCCCAGAAACCCAGGGAGAGGCTTCCAGGCCTGAATTCCATGGGCAGCCAGGCTGGGCTGTCCCTCTGGGGGCTCCCCCAGCTCGCAGGACAAGGATCCCAGAAGGGTCAGGGACAGAGGGGACCCAGCTGGGCTGGGGGGACACTCAGGTGTGGGGCCAAGGTTTGTCCCCCCTCAGTTCTGAGCGACCCCAGGGAGGGCAGAGCTGGGAGATTCCCGTGGATCCCAGGCTTGCTCCTGCAGGGAAACAGCTGCTTCCTGCCTCCAGCTGGGCTCTCCTGGCCCACCCTTGACCCCCAGGTCCCTTCCAACCTAAATTATCCCGGGATTCGTGCCCCTGGCCAAACCCACCCCTGCTCTGTCCCTGCTGCTCCAGCACCCGCCGTGTCCCAGCTCCTCTCCCAGCGCCCAAAATCCCAACCCCTCTGTGGCAGCAGAGCTTGGAGCTCTCCAGGTTCCTGTCACTGAGCTCCACAAAAGCCTCTCCAGGCTGGGAAGGTGCCAAAGGCCCCGAGGGTGCTCCGTGTGGAGAGCAGGGATGGCCACACATAACGCACACGTTGGCTCTCCAGACCTTCCTGACTCCCTCTCATCCCATGGAATAACCAGGAGAAACTCGTGTCAAGGTGTGTAAAAATAACCCCAAATTATTTAAACACCCATGCAGGGGGAGAGGGGAAGCTCTGCCTAAACAAGATTTGCTGCTTTTGACCCATTTAAGTACCTTTTTCTGCTGTTGCCCAAGTAGCAAAGGAAGTGGAAGGGGGTTTATCCCGATTTTTTTGCAAGCTGGCTGGGACCTGATGCGTGACATTTCTCCATCCTTGTGCCCAGAGGACTTGCATTACGTTAAAAAAAAAAAAAAAAAAGAAATGAAAAAGGTAAAAAAATAAACAAAAAAGAAAAAAAGAAGAAAAAAAAGGAAAAAAAAAACAAAAGGAAGAAAAACTAACAAAAAAGAAAAAAATCCCTCTTTTGTACAGAGATATATTTTTATGAATCAGAAGTTTGTACAGTTAAAAAAACCCAATGTAAATGTTTTTTTCATTATTGTAGTAAACAGTAGTGGAAGATCAGCTTTTTTTTGTAAATGTAATAAAATGTATAAATCTGGTTTACATAAAAGTGTACATATGTAATCTATACATACACCTGGCTTGTCTGCAGTATATACAGTTTAATTTATCTGTCTCTGTATATGAGGCTTTTCCTTGTGTTCAGGCATCCTTTGCTGAATTTGAAAGCTATTTTAAATTTTTGACTTCAAAATAAAATATAAATTTTTGCATTGCTTTTCTTACATTTCCTGCTGCCTTTTTCGTGGAGCTGCCAAAGGCTTTTTTTTCCCCCAGGATCCTCTGGATTCTCACACAAACACACACACGTGAGGTTCCTGATGTTCCAGCTGCTTGGAAGCACATCCCAAGGAGGAAAATATGGAAGATTCAGGCAAGACCAACCCTCTTCCCCATCACCACTGGGAAGTCCGGGGGAATTCAGCCTGGATGTGGTCCCTGCTCTGTGGAGGCAGCAGCTCATCCAGAGGGAATGAGACCAATCCAACATCTGCCCTCCCTCTCCCTGCCCTCCCTCCCTTCCCAGCTCTCTGCACTGATGGGATGTGATGTTGTTCCAGCTGGGATGTGATGTTGTTCCAGCTGGGATGTGACGTTATTCCAGCTGTGCTCCCCCCCCTCCAGCCAGGAATGGATGCTCAGGCTGTTGGCAGCTCCTGCCCCCCTGTCAGGGCAGATCAGCAGAGCCCCTTTTGAAATCAGGAGCTCAGAGGTCCTCCAAGAAACAAAGGAAAAACCCTGAAATGGGGATTTTGTTCTCAGCGTCGCCGTGAATTAAAAATCAAAGAGCCCAACTGCCCTGAGTGGGGGATGTCCCTCTTAATCCGGGTCTGGGGCTGAATTCTCGTGGAAAATTAAATTGGCAGGGAATTTTCTGGTTGGAAAAGGACATCACAAATGTGCCTCCCATCAGGAATGGTGAGGGGACCTGAGCTGGCTGATTTTTTTTGGTGTTAAAAAAAACCCCTCAGTGGGGTTTGGGCCGTGGTTTTGCTCTGGGCTGAATTAAAACCTCAGCACAGGGGTCTCCCATGGGTGGTCCTGTGACACTGGCTCGCCTGTAACACCTAAGGAGGTGTTATTAGTTAATTAATTAATAAGTTACCCCTGCAGTGCAGGGCAGGAATCACCTCTGATGATGATTTTTTTTTTCCAGGACACAGAATAATCCCCCCTCTGCTGGGGCTGCAGCCACAGGGATGGAGCTCCCAGTCCCTGTGGGATGGCTGCTGTAAATCAGCTTTTCCTCTCCTCCCCTGTTCCCTTGCAGGGTGAGGTGACCTTGGCTGTCAGAGATGCATTAAAAGCAGGTGATGCTGCTCCACCAGCACATCCAGAGCTCAGCCAAGTGTTTTAACTCTTTGGAGCTGTGGGATTTGGCTCTCTGGGACATCAAGTCTTTGTTTAGGACCTGACCTGGCCAGGCCAGGTGGTCTGAGCCTGGTTTTAACACTCTGGAGAGCTCTCTGAGGTCCTGTAGCCACCCTGGGGTTTGCATTTGGACTTTCCAGGTGCTCCTGGCCATGGAAAAACAGGGTGCAAAGAGCCTCGAGGCCATCATCTGGGGGGTCACTAAGGCACTTAAACCCCTTAGGACAGTTGCCACGAGTTCTTTGGGAAGCTGGGAAAGCAGCAGAAGGGATGCAGAGAGCTGGGAGCAAAGCAGAAGTGGTTCCCAGGATTTGAGCTGTGCTGGATTATTCTGCATCTCCTTGAGCCCCACTGGGGACAAACACACTCGGTTTTATCTCCTGGGAAGGTGATAAATTCCTCCCATCCTCCTCTGAGCAGGTGAGTGACAGAAAATCCCCCCCAAGGACAGGTAAATGAGCAGCACCCACAGGAAACCTGCACCAAAATGAGCCCCCAAGTAGGGCATTTTTGGGTTTGTATTATTCAGCTGGGATCTTGCAGCTCTGCAGGAGGAGGGAACTTCCCGGAACTTCAGAAACGTTCCAAGCACTAAGAGGAGAATTTATAGTTCAGTGCTAGGGGGGAAAATGCATAATTCATTCTCCAGGCTTTGGAAGAGCTAAAAAAAAAAAAAAAATGGGGAAAAAACTTCAAGAAAAAAGTGGTATTTGATTTCTCTTGGTGGTGGGAGCTGCAGACGAGGGCTCAGGGGGCATTTACCTGTCAGGGAGTTCAGCACCCCTGGGGAGCAGAATGGGCTTTATTCCTGGCTGTGGGAATTCAGCACAGGGAAATCCCAGGGAAAGGGTTAAAAGCCAGGGCTGGGAGCAGGCCTGGCTCTCCCTGCTGATCCCAGGGGAATGTGCAGCCAGCCCTGGTGTGTCCTCATTAGCCAAACTGGTGCAAAGGGCCTGGATTTAGGAAATGTGTGACAATGAAGTGCTATTAGTGTGGGAAAGGAGCTGGTTTAGTTATTTCAGCCCGGAGAAAATTATTCCTCTGGCAGACAGGTGAGATAATTAATCATGATCATCCTCCCAGCACATTTAATATTCCAGGGTGGGCAGCCACTGGTGCCTTTGGCAGCAGCCACCCCCTCTGCCAGCCTTGTATTCCCCTTGGCACTCCTGGCACACCAGGGGCTTTTCCAAGCCCAGTTTTCCAGCAGGTTTGTCCAGCTGCTGGAAGAAAGTGGCAGAAACCCTCTGTCCACTTGCTCTTCTTCCCCAAACCTCTGCCAGTCTTGCTCTGACATTTACATTTCACCCTCAAATTATTGAGTAATTCTTATTAGGGTATAAGCTAACAAAAAAACCACCAAGCCATCAGGGGACAATAAGGATAAGCTTGGAAAAATGGGATTCAGGGGCAGGAACCAGCAAGCTGGAGGTGCTGTGGCTCCCTGGGTGCTGAGACCCCCCTCAAACCAGCCTGAAATCCTCCTGGAAATGCTCTGGGATGTAGGACTGTTAGAGCAGAACAGGTTTGCTGAGCTGAAGACACTTTACTTTTCCCTCAAGCTACTTTATATTCTTATTTCTGTATTGACACATCTTTCTCCCCCACTCCAATCCAGCCTTAATTTCCAACTGTTAATCAGGCAAAGCACCGTGGCACGATGGTCTGTAATTAAAGAATTAAAGCCACACCTGAAGAATGCAGATGTGAAGGCAAAATTGAATTATTTAAATAAAGCCAGGCCATTAATTATGCATGTCCTTCCATCTTTCATCTCTTGATAAGCTCCAGCAGCTTTTGGAAGGGGGCAAAAGAAGAAGTTTCAAAGCCTGTGTGAATTAATGAAGTGTTGAGAAAGCTGGTTTGGGGTACTGGGAGCTGCAGAACAAGGTTGAGGGAGCTGGGGGGGCTCAACCTGGAGACTTATCACTCTCCAAAATTCCCTGGAAGGAGGTTGGAGCCGGGTGGGGGTCGGGCTCTGCTCCCAGGGAACAAGGGGCAGGACGAGGGGAAAGGGCCTCAAGTTGCACCAGGGGAGGTTTAAGTTGGACATCAGGGAAAACGTCCTCAATGAGAGGGCTTGTCAAGCACTGGAATGGGCTGGAAGGGCTCCAAAAACGTGGAGATGTGGTGCCTGGGGACGTGGTTTCCTGGTGGCCTTGGCAGTGCTGGGTTAATGGTTGGACTCTGATCTTGGAGGGCTTTTCCAGCTCCATGGTTTGATGATTCCATGAAAACAGCAGCCAAACCCCACATCTCCCAGGGATGTGGCTGAAATAAATGAGAGGGGGGAATGAGAGGGGAATCTCAGCCCAGGGTGGAACATCCCACATCCCTCCCAAGGGATGGCAACCCTCCCATCTGCCTCAGCCTCTCCTTAAAAACACCCTCCCCTTAGTCCAGGGAATTGCTGCTGGGGACGGGGAGGAGGATCCTATCCCAGATTCCCATCATTAGCACCAGCAGGGCAGTAGATCAGTGGTTGCACTGGTCCAGTGGAGCACAACCCCCTTCTCCCTGGGCTGCTGTGCTTGGCTTCCCTCCCTTTTCCCGCTGCCTGCTCCGTATTCCAGCCCTGCCAGCAATAAATACATCAATACCCGTGTGAAATCATCGGGTCGTGATGCCCTTGGATTGGCTTTATGGAGGGAGATGATTGGAAATATTTATGTGTGATAACTGGGCTGGGAGGGAAAAAAAAAAAAAGAGTACTAGAATGGCAGGAGGTTATTAATGTTTGCTGAACAGATTTACTGGATGTAATCAAATCGCAACATATGCTCGGGTAGGGGGGAAAATCAACACTGTTAACCAATTGTAGCTCAGGCCTGGCTTGGAGGAGCCAAATCCTGAGTTCTGCAGCAGCTTCTGCTGAAAAACAACATTTGTGGTAATCCCATTGTGGGATTGGGTGATGCTGGGTTGGTAACAGGCACGAGAATTCCCTCTGCTCTGCTCAGGGGCTTGTGGTTTTGGACAGAAGGGCTGGTGGTTTGTGTTGGTTTGAGAGCAGGATTTGGGGTTTGGGACCAGGCAGGCTCAGCCCTGGGGCCTGGCAGAGTGGGAATAGGTGGGATATTGGGAAGGGATCCTTCCCTGGGAGGGTGGGGAGGCCCTGGCACAGGTTGCCCAAAGAAGCTGTGGCTGCCCCATCCCTGGGTCAGGTCATCCTGCCCCATCCAAGGTCAGGTTGGAGCAACCTGAGATAGTGGAAGGCGTCCCTGCCCATGGAAAAGGGGTTGGAATGAAATGATCTTTAAGGTCCCTCCCCACCCAACCCATTCTGTGTCTGTATTTCACACTCAGAGTCCATCCCCTGAGCCCCCTCTCTCCTCCCCTCTTCCCAAGTGTGTGTGGTCACAAACCCAAACTTTCCAAGGAAAAATAATTATTGCAGAGCCAAACTTTTTCCAGGAGTAACT